ATCCTCTCCCTCCTCCCACCCTCCACCCTCCAAAAGAGCCTAATGTGTGTTGTTCCCCTCTGTGTTCATGTGTTCTCATCATTTATCTCCCACTTATTAGTGAGAACATGTAGTATTTGGTTTTCTGTTCCTGTGTTACTATGCTAAGGGTAATGACCTCTCGCTCCATCTGTGTCCCTGCAAACAACATGATCTTGTTCTTTTTCAAGGCTGCTTAGTATCTAAGGATGCATTTTTTAGAAGGTATCCCTGTCGGATACCTTCTAAACACATGACAGCAACATGGAGCTAACAATCTGTTGTTCACTTTTAATACGTATCAGACCAAACTGGAATGCAGGACAAGCTTCCAAGCAGATAGAGGAGATCAGTGCTTGTAATTCTCTATCTCTTGTTCTGCCTCATAGAACATCACCATTCCCAAGAAATATCGCTTCCTGTGACAAAAGGAAGCCAGCATTTAGAAAAGTATGAAGGAACACATATATACAACTCCATTTGGGGAAGGCTATAGGAAAAAGACCTGCTTTTGATTTGATGGGCTGTGCTTATAGAAAAGAGTTTTAGATCTTTAACTCATTCTTCCTTTATAAGGTAGCCACGTATGCATTTGGGCCTCTTGGAGATACACTGGACAGTGTCACTCATGCCTGTGATTACAGCACACTGAAGAGATTAAATCATAGAAATAATGCCCAATTCTGGAAAAATGAGATTGCAAATACTATCGTCTTTTCTTACTGGGGGTCAGTGCTATTGTATACAGCTCATCATAAACAGTCTCCAGGCAATTTTGCATGGCAGAGGAGCCTCTTCACTGTTGAAAGAAAGAAGGGAAGAAGGGAGAGAAGGAAGAAAGGAGAGAAGGAAGGAAGGAAGGAAGGAAGGAAGGAAGGAAGGAAGGAAGGAAGGAAGGAAGGGCCAACCTAATATAAGTGAGGCATGTGGAAAGTGCTTTATGTGTACTATTTTATTTATTCAGTACTTACAACAATGGAAATGAGATAGAGGTTCTCATCTCTTTTTTACAGAAGAGAAAAATAAGGCTCAGAGAGGTTAACTAACTTGTCCAAGTCATACATCTAATAAGTAGTTGGTGTGGGATTCAAAACTAGGCTAAGCCTCTTTGCACAGAACTTTCTTTGCTGAGCCGGTTGTTGGATCCTCAGTAGATATAAACAAAACCAAGGAAGGAAGGAAGATTTTAATCTCTAGTACAGGAAAGCACAAAAATGTATATACATCCCAAAAGCAGTACAAGGGGCTTGTTTGCTAACAGTAGTTTCCCAAAGATTATACCTTCTGCAGAAAACACATTATCCCGCTTGTTTCACCCTTCAGCTATTTAGAACAGCTGCCATGGAATTTCCCTTTAGACTAGAAAATGCCTTCAAGAAAGAGGCCACAAAATGGACGTTGATAGTCTATTCATCCAGGCGGAATTCACTATTCACTCATATTGAATGGTTAGAAAAAAGTCTTTTTATGATATGCCCAGATCATTTGTTTTTTGTTGTTGTTGTTTTGTTGTTGTTTGGTTTTTGTTTTGTTTTGTTTGCAGAAACCATACATGAGACTTGAGGTTTTTTGCTTCCTTTTCTTTTGTTTTTTTTTTTTTTTTTTGATTAGCCAGGGTAAGAGGACTATGGTTGGCAAAGGAGGAGTTTGACGTGTAAAAATAGGTGCAAGATTCTGTCAGGATGATGTTTATTTTACTTCAATTTCAAGGACGTTGAGGTATCTGACCCATTACCAACAGAATCTGGTAACATCCTTTTTCAAAAAGCCCAATTTCGCTTGATGGCTCAACTATTCCTTCATAGAAAACTATGTACTTTGGTTTTACTCTACGGTGGGTAATATGATTTCATGGCCCTTTTTAACTTTCTATCAGGAAACAATGTGGCAGTACAAAGGATCATCCCAAAGCCATAAAGACTTAGGATAATTTTATTGCTCTTGAAACATCATCTCCAAACATATGTTTAGGGCAAAATCTGGTAAGGTACAGGCTAAGAACTCATTTTACCCTCAAGACTACTTTGAGTGGCAATAAAACAACATAGTTAACCAAAGCTCTGCTTTGCTTGTGCCAGATATTATCCATTCATAGTGCAGCTTCATAAAATCATCCAGGGCTTCAGAGCTGAATGCATGTGGCTACCTCATTGCTTTGAAATCAGTGGCATTCTAATCTGGTGGGATAGTTTTACCAGTGATGTCATCAGCACATGTTTGCTTATTTATACATACTTCTCCTAGGAAGAACGGTGTTTATCACAGTACCTTGAAATGTAAAGAATTTGAGCCCATAAAATGAAATCACATTTCAGCAAGACTTTTTCATGATTGTTCCTCATTCCATTATGTTGTGATTTTTAAAAGCCGAAGCAACATGAATAAATTTTGCTTATGATATTAGGTTAGCCAATTCAGAATTGCAATCTGTCTCTCTTAGGTGTTTACAAAATTATTTCTTTAGATGTACTTATAATTATTTCTTTAGACATACTTATATTGGATTTGATTTAATATAGATATGGTTATTAGATTTTATTACCTAGAGAAAAAAATCCCATCATAATTTGCCCAAAATTAAGCCCGTAGTTTTGCAAAAATTATAGTAAGAAAATATATATGTATATGCACGGCAGAAACTTCTTCAGCAGTGGAGAGATTATATTAATATGTCATGTGGCATAGCTGTGTCATTTAAATTAGGAATTTTTAAAAATTCTTCAACCTTTTCTAAACCCAATTCCTAGTAGTTTCAATGAGAGTTTTGTCTCAATAAATCATGTATAAGTGGACTTAAAAAAAACTTCTGAACTCCTTTTTCCCAAGAACTTCTCTCCACTGCATGCATTACTGTTTCTTCTTTTTGTATCATGAGTGTGAATTATTTTCATGACTCTTGGCTGTAGCCAAGGTAACCTGAGCTTGCTTTTCATTTCTAATAATTATGTCCCATATAATAATAGTTATAATAATAATAATTATTATTATTATACTTTCTCCTCAGTAGAAGAGTGACTGGACCAATCCAAAAAGAATGAATCTCTTTTTTCTCTGATTCCCGTTTTCTTCCGTTGTAGATTGGATTTGAGGCTCCTTCCCTCCAGGGACAGGCTGCAGCTCCAGTGAGTGGCAGTGGAGCTGATTCTGAGCCAGCTCGCCATATCTTCTCCTTTTCCTGGTTGAACTCCCTAAATGAATGATGTTCATTCCAACTGCTGCCCCTCTGTCTGCCTGGCTGAGATGCACATGGGCAGCAGGGAGCCCAAGTGAAATCCATATTATGCAGATGATGAAAGGGACCTCTGAACAGAATTTCTGCAAAAATAACCCAAAACTCTAATTCCAGATGACTTATCGAACATATTGAGGGGAAAGAATATTTTGAGAAAATAGTTGGAGAAAGCACTGGAAAAAATAAACTGATCTTATGCAAATCTTTTATTGTGTGGAAAACATTGTGAAGGGTATGTAGGTATGGTACATGTGTGTGTAAGTAACAAGTGGCAAATGTTGAAAAAAGCGGTCACTATGCTCTCGTCTTTAATAGGAGCTGACTTTTTGTTATTATATTATAGTAGCTCTCATTTCCTTTACTCTTTTAACAGTGCAGGTGGTCAGTGAAAATCAGTGTCAATTCAGAAGTGACTGATTTATCAATATATGGACAAAAAGTAAATCATTGACCAAAGCTATGCAATGTTTCACAAAGTTTTCCTCTTTTGCATAAAAGATGTCACTGGATGTATATTCAGAAATATTCTTTGAATTTAGTGACACTTTCATAGTCCAGAAGGCTGAAGGCCTGGGACATCTCTTGAGACGTTTTTCTAATAGTTTTAGATTTTCATAGATTAGTCACTTTAGTTGGAAAAAGTCTTCCAGCAAGAGCTGTCTAGTTTCTCTTGTATTCACTGTGGCACCAATCTGGTAAACTGCAGAACAACTACATGTATTTAAATATATATACACACACATCACATATTAAACATATATATATTTAAATCATGCTTTGTTAATATTTGTCCAACCATAATGCCTCCTTCATAAGTGTAACTTTACTCTATATGAACTCTTAAATAAATGATGTTTTTAAAAGCTTTGTCTTATAATGATTTATTTAGTGTTCTGTGTTATCTTATTAATCCATTAGTTAAGTGTATTTCAAGAATCCCAGATAAGAAGCATCTTCATACAGACAAATTAATTTTGAAGTATTAAACATTTGATTGAATTTTTAAAGCTATAAATAAACTACCAAAGGCAAATGCACTGTAAAACTAATTAAATGTGCTGTTCAGTTTTAGAAATGAATAAAGATACTTCATGTTCCTAAGCATAAAAAGTGATTAGGGTTGGCATAGGCATAAATGTGGAGGATATTTGTGTAATTATTAAAGTCAAAATGTTCATCGTAAGAAAATTTTTCCTTTGTGACATTTTATAACGACTAAATTTAGTCATCTTAAGTGGAGATGCTCTCAAGTTTCTCTTGTTAGAAGTAGTCATTGGAAAACAGCTTAGAAAAAATTGTTTTATTGTACCAAAGTAGTAGTTTAACAGAATGAGTCTTCCTCATAGAAAAAGAATGCAGCATTTTAGCCATATAGTTTGGAGGAATTTCTGCCTCGACACATCTTCCTTCCTTTCATGTTTTCCCCACTCTCTCCAATTATTTCCATTATTTCATAATGAAAATAACATTATGAAATGATCTTCCTTTTAGAATTATGATGTTTTAGAGCTACTGGGAGCAACTTCTTGAATTATTTCACTCAACCTCAGAGAAATAGCCCATGGCACAGAGATGAGCCCAAAGTTATTGCAGGGTCTGTGTGGGCCACTGACTAATGTTTGTATTTTTAGTAGAAAAATGTAATGCAGGAAATTTTTTGTTTTTTCTGGTGCTGAAGACAATTTGGAGAAGCTAAGAGATGAGTGTATTTCAAGTGTATGAGCACTGAAGAGAAAAAATAAAGTCATGATTACCTTTGCAGCTTTTATTAAAAATATAAATATTCAACATTCTCTTACACAACCAAACTGACCAAGGACTGGAAAGATGTTTTATTACTGAAACGTTTACAAGAAAAAGTTGTTTCAAAGAGCTTACAGATTTAGTCTTACCCACCCAAGAGAATGGCATTCTCTTTGGCTCAGACCACAGCAAAAACAACTGGGTGACTTCTGTCTGCTTTTCAAACAAAACGTTTTCTCCCACGTCCACATTCCCTTTAAAACGCCACTAAAAACACCTGGAAATGGAAACTAAACGTAGACAAAACGAATAACATTGTGTTGTTACTGCACGTGAATACACTTTGTGCATGCTAAGTAAAGGGTATAGGCTCTCTCCCTCTCTCCCTCCATGTTTCAAGCTATATAAAAATAAACAAATGGCATCAGAGCAGCGCTATGTTACAGAATACTGTTTTTTTATTTTTTGTGTGTGCTAAATGCAGAATCTTTTTGGCCAAACGCACCGTTTCATTTCCCAATAATCTCCATGAGTTTCCTGTTGCTGTGAGCTTGCTGCGCTAACTGCTCGGCCCTGGCCATTTCCAAGACTTCCCGGAGGAGGTGGAAGGTGAGATCCAGGGAGATGGGAGCCTCCTCGGACCGCCTCTCCCTCGCCGGTGCCTCCTGGTGGCCGCCGAGGGCGTTCTCGGAGCCGCGCTCTGCGAGAGCCGCGGGGCTGTCGAGCGAGCGCCGAGGCAGCAGCAGCTGCTGCAGCAACACGCGGAAAAAGTTGGCGGCCGCCTGCTCCTGCGAAAGGCGGCTGCCGCTGCCGCCGGCAAGGAGCGAGGAGGCGGGCGAGAGGGGAGCGGCCGGGCTCTTGTTGAGGTTCCCCAGGCGGAGGAAGTACTCCTCTCCCATGCGGAGCAGGACCGGCCGAGCCTGCGGCTGCTGGGGCTGCTCGGTCTGCGGCGGCGGCTGGAAGAAATCCAGGGGCTGAGGGTACTGCGGCGCCTGCCGGCCTCCCGGGACCGGCCCACGGCTCAGGAGCGCCCTGCATGGCGGGCAGGGCAGGAGAGCCACCAGCAGGACGCCTGCGGACACGAGCAGCGGCAGCCGCATGTTAGGGGCGCTCGCTGCAGCACAGAGGTGGGCGGAGGGCGGAATGAGAGAGAGGAAGAGAGAAAGAAGAGTTGGTCAGAGTTCGCTCAACTGGGAGGTGCACACGAGGTCTTCCTACGGGACTCCCTTAGACGTGCTGGGCTCCGGCCTCAGGGCTTCGTGTGGGCGCTGTCCGCGGTGCTGAAGCGTCTGGGGAGCGGGGAGAGGGGCGCCTGCAGGGCTCCGCACCTAAGCTCACGCCCTGGCCGGGCAGGAGTAACCCTTCTTTCTAGACTCCGAAGGGACGGTCCCTGAGTCGTCTTCCTAATGATCTTCAAAACTAATTTTCCCGAGCCTAGATAAGAGCCACGGATTTAAGATCCCACACGCGCTGACCACCTCCCTTCCAGATATTTCAGCATTTTCTTCCAAATTGAGAACTACTGCCTCTGGTCCTCCCTCTCCACCCCTGCCCTTGCTGCCTTCTCTCGGGGGTCAGGATAGAAGCGGGTGGGGGTGCTCCTTTACACAGCTAGTGAGGAGCAACTGGCAGCACGGGTAACGAAGAGCAGCCGTCTAAGTTTGCTTTTGCCACATCCCAGCTACTACTAGAATCTTAAGGACCAGTCCACGAACACGCGCACACACACACCGCACGCGCGCGCGCATACACAAACACACACGCATACACACACACACACACACACATGCATACACATGCACACAGGCAAGGGCAGGCAGGGGCAGCCGGCTCTGCCGCGCACCTCGCGGCAGCTCAGGCAGCGCAAAGTTGGTGGCGCGTTCAGTCCAAGCGCTCCCTACCTTCCCAGGCGCTTCGCAGGTGAGCCGGGTGCTGCGGCCTCTCTGCAGAGGGACGTCTCCGGGGCTTTCTCTGGAGGTTGTCTTCCCTTCTCCTTTCTGTTCCTACTCTCTTTTTCTTTCTCTCCTCTTTCCCCTCAGTCTCTCAATGGACTTGGTCTCCGAGTTTCTCCACTCCAGAGCCTGGAGTGGGATTTTATAGTGTCGACCCTCTTCAGAAACCACGCAGCATTTGCCTAATAAGCTGACGCTCTCTTGACAGCTCGATTGCGTGCTGCCTCTGCTCCTGCATAAATCATAGGGCCCTGCCAAGGAGCGAGGGGCAGAATTTTGCTATCTCAACACTGAATCTCACATCCAATTATATCAACAGATATTTATCGCCTCTTGGTGACGTCAACGAGCCCTAAAATGGAAGGGCTTCTTATGACTTGTCCATTGACAAAAATTCTTGAATGAGATTTCCCAAGTGTGAAAACATATTGACCTCTTACTATGAGAGGCCAAATTAGGGGTGTGCAAAGAGACAACGAATGGGAGGAGGAAAGGGAAGTGGGAAGGAAGGGAGTTCTCCCAGTGCAGCCCTGCCAGGAAAGCAGCAGCCAGTTGGAGAGGGTGGATCTGGATGCCCCATCTCCTAACCTCTCTGACCAGGTGTCTCTGACACCTCAGTATCTAGAAATACCCCTTTGCTAGAGACAGAGTCTCCCCATCTTTCTGCCTGGAAAAGAATGAAGCATCAGGAAAAAGGTGTGCAGGAACATCCGGCTTTTAAATGTCTATCTGCTTTTTCCTCCCAAGAGCAAACACATAAAGGAGTTATGAGTCTGCAGAAGCAAGACCAATAAGTCTCTTAAAATGCAGTTCAAGTTTTTTAAATGATGACAAGAGCTATTCCCATGGCGAAGGGACACAAACCAGGGTCAGTAAGGGGTGCATCAAAGATTTTACGTTCTCTCAGAAACTCCCTGCCCCTTTTTTGTCTCTCCTCTCACAATCTAGTATTAATTGTGGACTTACTCTTCTATTCCCAAATTAAAGAGAGAGAGAAGGCCAGTGAGGGATGCATGAGTGAAACAAGCTTTACTTATACAATGCAAACCCAAAGAGAGGCATCCATTCTAACTTCCTAATCTATGTGGAAAACTGCTCGACTACAGGACTAAATTAAGCAGTTACATGTTTTCATTGATCAATATTGAGTCTGTAAAGAAGTAATCTCATTCATTTCACTTCCAAATACTATCAACATCCATAATAGTATCCATATCTGGGCCACCCAGGTTGGTTCCTTTTAATCATTTCTTTTTCCAAATGCAAATGTGCTTCATATGAGCCTGTTAAATAAATGCTCTCTGATATTTCACAGAATGGAATGGAATGCTAAGACTGTAAAACTACACTCAATTTTTGAATTAAATTGATACTATCATATAGTGGGAGGCAGTTACCTCTGATTCTGCAATTCAAACTGCAATTCCAAATTCCTGTGCCTGTGATTCAATTCAGCTTCCAGATAACCATCAGAGTTGTTTATCGGAAATTTCCGGCTCCTCATTTCTGGTTACTTCTGCTGCTTCCTTTGTAGCTAATGTGACAAATGATGCAATGCATATTTCAACTCCCACTTTGGGTCTATACCAATCCACAACCGCTCTTAGGAACAAAGGAAGGCAGGGAGAGAAATGCTGACAGTTTGTAGAGAAGCCAGCCCATAGTTGGATCACCGCACTATGTTATGTACTTTTGACACAAGAGAACAGAGAAAGAAATGTGTCTACTGGGAAAGATGTGAGTTGTTAATAGAAGATCATGATTATGGAAAATGGTTAAGCTTCCGGGAGAAAGCTGTGTTTTATACTGGGAGGAAAGTACACAGAACATTAGATTTTGTTATTGTGGGCTTTTTAAGCTGGAATGGGTTCAACATTTTGGTTTACTCTCCTTTATGACCTGTTTTCTGACCCCATTCGCAGATTTCAGCTTGGATGTCAATCTGGAGGTGAAACGTTGACTTGGAATAGGAAGTTGCAATGCAGTAAATGGATACAGAAGAGGAACTAGGAAAGGGATATGGTCATGAGTTTAGCTGGGAGGTCTGGGAGGTTCTTCCAGAGAAGACACAAGTTTTGGGTTCTGAGTAACCCTACACCCCTACGTATCTCACTCCCATTGGGCTATCCGGGGGATGTTGTTTTAGCATAGCTCCCTGTTCACTGTTGAGTCCTTGCTGTGAGGTTTTCTTGCAGTAAGTCATTAATGGAACCAAAGTGGCTCCAACTACGTAGTAAGGAAAGTTCTCTTTAGAAGCTGGAGGAAGAGAGGCTATACACAGCAGCTTCTATATGCCACAATTAATCTGTATTAGTCTATTTTCACACTGCTAAGAAAGACATACCCAAGACTGGATAACTTATAAAGGTAAGTGGCTTAATGAACTCACATTTTTACATGGTAGGGGAGGCCTCACAGTCATGGCAGAAGGCAAAGGAGAAGCAAAGGCATGTCTTACACAGTGGCAGGCAAGAGAGCATGTGCAGGGGGAACTCTCCTTTCTAAAACTATCAGATCTGATGAGACTTATTCACTATCATGAGAAGAGCATGGGAAAGACTCACCCTCATGATTCAATTACCTCCCACCAGATTCTTCCCATGACACATGGGAGCTACAACTCAAGATGAAATTTGGGTGGAAACAGCCTAACCATATCATTATCCAAAATTTATATTTCATTAAATCACCCAGTGTTTACATTAGAAATGACTTAAAGAGATCACTCGGTTCAAATGAGAACCAGAGAAGTTAAGTGACTTACCTGAAGTCACTCAGCTGAGTTAGTGGTAAAGTGAGAATTAGAAACCAGTTCTTTTGATTACCAGCCCATATCATTTGCATAATGTAACAACCACCTTTGGATTTTCTTTTCCAGCAAAGACACACAAATTGAGGTGAAAAGACGAATTTTTAAAAAATTTTAGAGCTAGAATCTCACTTTGTTGCCCAAACTGAAGGCACCATGATAGCTCACTGCAGCCTAGAACTCCAGGGCTCAAGTGATTCTCAGCCTCCTGAGCAGTTGGAATTATAGGCATCAATCACCATGGCTTGCCTGAGAAGATGTATTTAGATAAAGTAATATATTCACACACCAATTGTGGAGTACCTTGTCTTACATTTTCCTTTTATTGATAAACTAAGGTATGAGAATGTGGAAATTCTTTGGCATGCTGATGTATGTGGCACCTGATTTTCAATCAATGTGCACATGCATTGCAATTTACTTTTCAGTATTGTCAAATTAAAATGCATTAATTTGATTATTCTGCCTAGGTGACCTTTGAAAAAAGTGATCTTTGGATACAGTATAGAGGATGAGAGGGATTCTCAAAATCATAATATAGATCTATGATTTGATAAATAACATATGCAGATAACTTAAATGTGCGTAAATATCCAAATCCATAAAAATCACCACTGACAGATCTGATCTTACATGTAGAAATAACTTCTTGAAAGGAGTCATTGGAGAACCAATTGCAATGCTTTTAGAACCTAAAAGCACAATCCAAGAAACATGAGCACAAAACAGGGATTACTTCATGTTTTAAATCATATTTTTCCACATCTACATAATATATGATATAGGTAAATTAAAACAGACGTGACATGACAGTCTAAAAAAGAAATATCAGAAATAATAGGTAACTAGTGGGCATATTTTTGTCACTTGCATCATCTTGTACCTTTGCAAGCTTCTATCAGTATAGCTCGTGGCAAACAAACACCGTTTCCAAGTTGGTTAACGGAAACATTTGTTGAAATAAATCTACCATTTCCAATGACAGCCTTCAGAAATGCCGAGGGTGGACTGGTGGTTTGGTAATTATTTGTAACTGTTCTTTAGATAGGTTAAGTAACTGCCTTTTGCTTCCACAGGAGGACTGAGGAAAGGCTCTCAAACAGCAAAATATCTAACAGCTTCACTGGCAACAATAACTTTTTCTTCAAAGCCATACGTGCTCTTTGCAGAAAACTTAGAAAAATCAGAAAAGCATAAAGAAGAACATAAAATTCCTCAGAATATCAGAATCTAAACACAGTTAATTAATATTTTGTTGTTTCCCCTGAGCATTTTTCCTGAGTTCAAAATTATAATTGAGATAACATTATGTTCTTAATACTGAATCTCAGTTAAAAAAAAAAAAAACAACTCTCATTTTAGCACTTAAAATAATTGAGAGCAAATTTTAAATGTTCTTATTACCAAAAATTGGTAAGTAAGCGAGGTAATGGATATGTTAATTAGTTTGATTTAGCCATTCCACATATATCAAAACATGTTATACACCAGAAATACATACAATTTTTATTTGTCAATTTACATTAATTAATTCATTGAAAAATAATTTATTGAAGAAATCTTCCCCAGATCCTATATTAGGTTTAGCACCTGTGCTTTATATTTTCCTAACAGCATGAATACTCTTCATTGCAAAGTTCACATTTTGTCACAGTTACTGGTACAATATGTACCTCCTTTGCTGGACTATAAACTGTATAGCAGGGCTTTGATTGTCTTTGTAAGTTGCCATATCCATTTCTCTTGCCCCAAACATGGTAGATACCCAGTAAGCCTGTTGAATGAATGAAATAATGAAAGAATGAATGTACGTATAAAAATTACCCATAAGCTAAACATATTATCCAGACATAACTAAAATTTTATAACCTACTTTTTCCCACTTAAAGTTATATCTCAAACATTTTCCTATATCCAAGTGAAATCCTTTTTATCATATGATATTGCATCAAGATGTGCCAAATTTTCTATTTATTCTTCATTGTTGATCACTGCCCTAATAACCTACTTTTTATTCTTCTTCATCTTACCCTTGCACTTTTAAGGAATATACCCACAGAATTATTTCCTGATTCTTCAAATATAAACAATATCTCTTAACTCCCAGATTGTAAGATGTGATTATTTATCCCTTCAACCATTCAGACACCCTCCTCCACCTTGATCTCTCAGTCTCTTTCATCTGTACTTTAACTTCTAGATTGTCCATGTTAATTCTTTTTACAATCATAGTTAAGTCTTCTGTGCTTTTGTGCTTTTACTGTAGATTATTCTACACTTGATCTTAGCCAAAGGGCCAAGAAGTGATAGATAGATAGATTCTAAAAGTGGGAAATCAATATAGTTTTTAATTATTGACTATGTAAATTGTTCATTGCAGAATAAGATCATAGACTCTGATTACATTTCCTATCTTGTTTTTGGTTTTTCTATAATTTTCAATTGCCACTTTTATATTTTTTATGCTCCCAGTTTGGTTTTTTCCTAGAATTACAAATTGTCTTAATTTTGTTCTCATTTGTTTTCAAATTTTCCATCATAATAAGTCCTTACCCTCTTTTTAAGACCTCACTCCTTGAGCACGCTAACCTGCTGCTTTCAAACTACTTTCTAAATCTGACACACAGGTATCTTCCTGGGACTTCTCTTTTCTTCTTTCCTGGATCGAATTTCCTGTCCAGAATCTCATGACTTATTCCCTCTTGATCTCAGAATTTTATTTTGCTAGAGAACATCCTTTG